CAAATGGATGCAGTGATTTACACAGGTTAAATACACTGATTAAAGCAGTTGAATGATTTTCCGACACCCTCACCGCAGAGGGGCTGCTAACTGCTAACTGTTGGCAACGAGAACACACGAATGGCCCTATTCAAAGCCGGTAATACACTAAAGAAGACATACTTAATGTATTATATTTGATTGCTGCCAATATATCCCACTTTATCCTACACACCGGACCTTTGATATAAACATTCATCATTGTAATACTATAGGTCCCATTTAAGGGATGTAAATATAATGATATGTTCTCCCTCTGTTGGTGTTCCTCTCTTTAGTCTCCGTTTCTGAGTTTCATCTGTGTTTGGCTTGGTGACAACACCTGCCGCCTCTCCACCTAGCACTGTATTCTCTCCCATTCATACCGCCTCTGTGAAAATTTGCTCCCAGGAGACACAACTAAGCATAGCTATCACTCTGCTTCGCCTTCTCTGACATGCAGGACTGCCGCCTCTAAAGTGAGCATTTGCAGCCTTTTGAAGTGGCGACAGGAGAGAGACGGCGAACAGACAATAAGGCACACATGAGAAGCCAAAACACGAGATAACGCACCGAGAGGAGTGACAGAGAGCAAGGTGCGCCGAAACTCACATGTCATCGCATAAAGCTTTTGGAGGGGAGGTGGAAACCTTTGACTTGTGCATCAGTAACGGTGGAAGTTTCCTGACAAGGCAACGACTGCCAGGGTATAATTGATGCTGAGGCTAAGAGCGCAAAGATAAAGATAGTATTCCCCTTTAGGGACAGCTGAATGGGCCAAACTGACAGCATAGTGAGTGTGTGTGTGTGTGTGTGTGTGTGTGTGTGTGTGTGCGTGTGTGTGTGTGTGTGTGTGTGTCAAACAGCAAGCGTCCATCCTCCTCCTCTTGGTAGCTGCATGTTGCCTACTGTACATGCTGCTGTCAGCTCTAGTCAATTGTCCTTGATGGATTAATTAGCCACACCACATGGTCAATACCTCACAGCTCAATACTAATTAGTAATAACAATTTAAAAAACCTGGTTTAAAGGCCATTCAGGCGTCTGCACTGCAGATTGAAAAAAAAAAAAAAAAAAAAAAAAAAATCCATCAATTATTCTGATTTTGCTCATTTTATGGTGGTGGCTATCTTTCAACTCAGATTCGTTGACACACACACACAATAAATCATTTATCGTTACTAGAAACATTAGAAGGCCGTGCCAATTAACAGAGCTTACATAGTGATTCACCACCACCAGACTAATAGTGTCACTATCCCCGTTTACTGTCTAATTTCTGAGTCACACAGAAGACCAAAAACCCCTTTCTTCTTGGTCTCTCTCTCTCAGACACATACACTCGTGCACTCTCACAGCAGAATCTAAATCACTGCGGATCTCAGCCTCGCTGATTCTACCCTGACCCAGATACTCAGGTTCTTTCTTGCCCAAATCCTTTTAAAATGAGAGTCCACCTTTTTTTCTCCCCCAGCAGTTTGCGGCCACAGCCTTCCTTCATGGTTTAATCATTGCGGTGCTAAAACTTGGATGGGGAAAAAAAACAAACCTTCACTCTAGGACACTTAAGCAAAGTGCATCACTTTTAGTAGACAATCCATCTAAAACAGAAAGCCTTGACTGGAGTTCGGTGTGTGGGATGTGATGTTGATAGGTAGCATCTGTGTCCCTGGAGACAGGATGATGCACTGTGGGCACTTAATGTGACTTCAAATGACTGGAAAACTTTAAAATACTGTATATCAGCTATAGAGTGTCTCCTGACTGGGCCTGAAGTTCAATTTCTGCTCCCTGTAAGTGCTCTCTTTCTTACAATACTGCTTCATTTCAATTGTGACAAAAAAAACTCAGGAAATTTGAAAACATATTACGTAAGCTTTGATCTGACTATACCTCCCGAGGGAACAGAAATTGTTGGTGCAACATTTGGGCAGAAAAATACGGCACAATACAACAGTCTTCAAATCCTCCAACCTGAACAAAGACAATCCCCCACCATAATCTCTGAAATACACCCTCCGCCCTCTAATTAACCATGGCAGCCATTTTGGATCTTTGTCGAACATTAGCCAAATTACCACCCGAAGGAAAACAATGACACACTTCTTCAGTTACACAGCTGGTACATGATAGCATCGGAAGTCTCTCTTTTAAGAAATCGATACGCACAGTTAGACACACAGGAATATATCCAACTTCAGGTTCACCCTCAGTCCATTAACAGATGCTCGTCTATCACGGAATCGCCCCCCCCCCCCAAAGCCCCCGCTGCGTGTGAACTTTGCCACCTCGGGTGTCTCCCAGCCTCCTGCATCGACAAAATCTCTGAGTGTAATTGTGCATAAACGTGTCACTGCGTGTAAAATGTGTGCTGGTTGGCTTGCTGTGTGGGATTTTTTGTGCTGATGTGGATAGTAGTCAGATACAGACCTATACTCTTGGTGAGTGTATGAGTGTGTGTGTATGTGAGTGAATATGAGTGTGTGTGTGTGTGTGTGTACAGTTCCCCAAGAGAGGTTTTAGCAGAGCGTTACTTATTCACCCCTCTGGCTGAACTGATGGAGTTCTCCGGCTAAGATCGCCCTGCATGAAAGATGGGTCGAACATGAACGAGTCTTGTACTTACACACACACACACACACACACACACACACACACACACACACACACACACACACGCACGCACACACACACACACACTCACACACACAAGCCGTTGCCTAACGGTGCGATTCAAACACATTTACACCCACTGAGGTCGAGAGAAGCAGCACAGATTCACAGCTCCACCGACTGAATGTAGAACAACAAATCAGAAAAATGTCGAACACACCCGTTAAGAGACGCAACTGAGAGACATTGCAACAGCTTGTGGGCTGAAAGCACCAAAAAGGCAAAGACTGAGCACGCACGCATTCTTGCCACGTCCATTTCAATATGCTGCAGGGGAGTTCCACCTTCAATCGAGGCCGGACCACAAATCAATACAGACACCACACTTTAGGCACTGGCTACGATATAATGGCAGCACTGAACTTTCCAAATCAAAACACGACTGTCATCTGTCACACACTGTGGAGGGTTACTTATAAATCTGCCTAAAACACAGAGATGTTAGAAGGAGGAAGAGAAGGGTCGGACAAAAACTAAGGAAGAGAGGGACTAAAGAAAAAGAGGAAGCTACAGAGATTTAGGTGAAAATGATAAAAGTCAGAGAGCAGCAGAGAGAAAGGAGGTGAGGAGAGAAAGAAAGCCGGGGGTATTTGTTGATGACCTGGTTGAAAATGTCATGCTACATGCGGCACTTTCCAAGCAGCAGCCTGGAGCTCATCCCAACCTGCAGAGTTCACGCATCACATGCTGCGCGGCGGGAGGCCAGATTCACATCAACATTTCGAATATCCTCTAAATTAGTCAGCAAATCTGTACTGGCAGTGCTCATGTGTATGAATGAGAGTCTGTCTGCGTTTGAGACACTGTGTGTATATCAGGGAGAGGGGAGTAGCGAGACAGACAGAGAGGAAGTGGGTGGCTGCATTAATTAATAATAAAATGCTTGAAAGCGTTTGTATATATGCAAATCGTATGCAGGCACACAACGGCGTGGATATGGCCTGTGTGCGTTCACGTGTGTGTATCAGACAAATCTATAAAATCAGACCTGGGGGTCGATAACTGTGTGAGGCTGGGCGTTCTCAAATTACCTCAGATTACTGCCTGCTACTACCAGTGCTGGGCTAATCGAAGGCAATTTGCATTTGGCTGATGGGCAATTTTAAAAGTGTCTCCCCGATGCTTTCGGAGGCGAGGCAGGGTTTTTTTTTTACACCTAACATATGCTCAGGAGTGTAGAATGAAAGAGAAGGAAATGAGATCTGAGGGTTCAAGGAGGCAGGTTCAAAAAAGGGGGGGTAATATTACACTGGTTTGAAGAAGGGAGGGTTGAAGATGAGAATGCACCAAAATGAGATGGATCAAAAAAAGAAAATAATAACACTTCAAAAATGGCAGAGAAAGATGGCTGTACACTTCCAAGAAAGTGAAAAGAGAGGCTGCACTGTGGGAGCAGCTCCTCTACACTGATTTCTCTGTAGTGGCATGGACTTCAGAAATGGGACCTGCTCCAAATTGAGTGGCCTCATGTGGCCTTCATTACAAGCCGTGGGTGGCACAACACAAGAAAAGAGATAAAAAAAGACAGAGACGGATAAACACAGAGAGGACAAAGCAAGAGAGGAGGAAATGAACTTAAGCAAATGAAAGTACGCCAGGAATTGCATTGCGCTAAATTAATCTTGGCGCTTAAACCTTGTGCCCATGATCAGAAGGCAGGTGCTCATTTATGTGCTCGGAGAATAAGCCTTTCACATATAACCACTCTACATGAATTTCTAATGGGAGCACAGTTGTAAACACAGATAAGTGAAGAGACGGGGAATGAAGAAAAAGGAGAGGCAGAGAATAAGGAGCGGGGCTGATTCAAAGCAGAGGCAAAGGACAAAAACTGCAGCTGTAATTAAGAGGATGTAGTAGTACACAGACTGTTCTCACATCAGTTTATAAAACATTCTTGCGCAGTATCCATTTTGATGCTGTTACAGTATTTAATATATTAACTGTGTGGGTTATGATAAATAAAATATCGTGGCTTTAATACCGTGTCTCTGTCAGCTTGTTGTGGGTGTTTTCTAGTACATTTCTGCGTACGGCTTGTGAGGTTAAGTGCCTGGATTTACCGACACATTAACTGGAAAGATTGATCCTCCTTTTGCAGGACAACGACCTGAATGGTTGAGTCAATTTTTGCCACTGCAGAGCTTGCCGGCTCTGTCTGAATCAATTCTGTAACCTTTCTGAAATCCAACAAAAGCGGGCGCATGTGTGGAAATTTGCGTCTCTGCTGTGGGGCATGGAATGCCTCCAGCGACTCCCTCTGTGTTACTATCTGTCTCTGCGTATGTGCAATCTGGTTTCCCACTCACCAGCTCAATGAGCTCCTGGTAGCACACCTGTCCCTCTTCATTGCTCTGGACCAGGGCTAACAGCATGTCCAGTTTGGACGGGTCCAGCTGCAGTTCATGGTGCTCCACCAAGCTGGTGAAGTTCTCCACAGCGATGAAACCGGTGTTGTCTGGGTCCAGCTAGAAAAAAACAGATTACTCAGATAAAAACATTGCTGATAACACATGTATTGAAGATGTTATTTCTGGTATGCATCATGATTTTTTTCTTAATAATAAGCAGCACAGCAGAGATGAAGTGTCAGTGTGCCCTTAGGGAGAATGCATCAGTAAGACAGACAACTGAGATGTATACACACAGACACAACAGATACTCATAAAGACAAATGAGAGCTACACGGCTGAAGCCATACGCTCTGACGGTGACACCAGTATTAATTAAACTGCGTTGCCTGTATGATGCCTTTGAAAGAACAAGACCTGCCTACAGAAAAAGCCCCATTCAACCTCATTATAGGAGCAGTCTGTCAAAGCAAACAGCAGGATGGCTGTTGTTGTTGTGAGAGAAGACATGTCATTCTAATACGCAGTGACCTGCAGTTTTCCTGAGAGAAAAATCCCTCAGCATTAAATGAGGCTGACTTTTCAGTCTTTGTTTCTGAGTGGATGCTTCGTTTGACTGTGCGAGTCCGACCTTGGTCACATTTGCAGCTTGCAGTCACTGTGGGTTTTTTTTAATCACCACTCACTCACTGAGACCCACAGCCCCATGGGTTATTACTGCTGATGTCTGTATGCCAGAGCTGCTCCTCGTAATTGATTTAAGCGGGAGAGTGTCATAAAAATGGCTGAGTGTAGTCGTCTAAAATAGCGCCCGCTTAAAAAAGGCTTGTAAAGTATAGGGTGTGTATCTACGCTTGGTTTATGTAATGTGGGTTTGTTTTTTTTTTGGCGGCAGCCTCACCTACTTATTACTTGATTTTCTTCCCTCACCTTCTCTTTTTAAATGCGTTCAATTGCTCTGCAATGGAGTGTTAATTTCTCATGCCAGCTCTCCTTAGTACATCTGATTGTGTTTGTGAAAATGCGCCTGAGGACAAACTGGAGCAGTACAAAGAGACCACATGGGAAGAGCCCTTGCTGCTTCTCATTTTACTGTTTCCTGGATGCTAACACAGCCTCATTAGGTTTCAGATAGTAAACCAACAGCCTCTTGTTGCCCCGGGGAGGAGTGAGCTTTCAGATGTTGCGTCAGTGTGGAGTCAGTCGTGCTGGATCATCGTTGCCCATGTCATGAGTCCAGAAGATGAATCCTGTCTAGGCCGCCTTAGTCCGGACCTGGCCTGCTCTGACATGGTTAGACAAAGGCGATTCATCGGTTGCATGAGGAGAGCGGCATTAAACCACGCTGCGCCGTGTCAGTCCCTACTGCGGGAGTCTCAGAGCTTAAAGCTCTACTGCTCAACTGAGGAGCTGAGGATCAATCCAGGAATCCATTGGTGTTTGTGTGTGTATCTCCTTCTGAACATGTTTACTGTATATGCTCTGCTTCCCCCTGCACTGTTTCCAGGGTGTTTTAGTCATGTAGCTGAACACAAGCATCCCTTTTAATCCAATTAATCTGTTTTTTTACTCCCCTGAAAACTTATGTATTCATTCACCTGGGAGAGCACAGTGGAGACACGAACTAATGGGTTGGTTTGATGATGCTTGACTCGGAATGAGTGTTTTCCCACTGCTGGTTGATGTAGTGAAGGGATTTTGGTAGCTGTAATACTTTAACAATACTCTAAATACACCAGCATGACTCAAGAGCATAAAAAAAACATTTGTAACCAATATTAATCAAGTTTTTGTACACACACAGACATTGTTGTCTCTAGGGCATTTACTGATTACACTCTTCACGTCATGTGCATTGTTTAAAGGAGCAGTGTGTAAGATTCAGGAGGATTCAGTGGCATCTAGCTGTGAGGATTGCAGATTGCAACCAGCTGAAACTTCTCATGGTTAGGATTCCTTCAATGATTGCTGTTCAGGGGGGTTTTAGCAGGAGCCAAATTATACACAGAGGTCTGTTTCTCTTTAAAACAAACAGACCATGAGATTAAAACTGGTAAAAACACTGAAAAAAGCAATTTCATGTTAGAAATGAGTGTTTCTCCACTGTTCAGCATGTAGGAGACAGGCGGCAAGCTAAAAATGCTAATGTTAGCTCACCTGCTTTCTGTGATAACTGAAGATCCAGATGTTTAAGAGGTTTTCAATGAGAGGCAAGTTATCTGTGGAGGTCTCTTCCTTTCAAAAACAAATGGACCCAGTGATTTAAACCAGTAAAAACACTGAATAAAGCAGTTTCTCGTTAGAAGCTTATTTCCAATTCTAGTCATCGCACAAGACTGACCACATTTACGAAAATGTGAATGGTCTTGTCTGGTTTGTCTGATCCGGGCTACTGTAGAAACATGGCAGACCTGCTCCCTTTGTAGAAATAAATGTCTCAGTCTAAGGTAACAAAATGTCTTATTTGTAGGTGATTATACACTTAAAAAATAAATATATATACATACTTCATTTCTGCCAATATATCCTCCTAAATCCTACACACTGGAGCTTTAAGTGAGTTCTGTTTACACATGAAGGGCAAAATCCATGCAATACTTGACAGTCTCCCCCATGGTCAATGTCTCTCACACATTGTCTCAACGCTCAGCTCCTGACAGCCAGCAGTGTCAAGGCAGCTGCAACGCACATAAAAGCAAATTTGTGAACAAAAATGAACCGAGATGGGGAAGAAAACGGGCCCAGGTCTATTTTTAGATAATCCCCTTAACTGTGTGTTCCACGGACGTTTGTTAAAACACGGCCCGTTCTCCCCTTGAGGCTCACTGAGCAAAAATGGTGTGGATACGGCCAGCATTTGTGATGTGTTGGGCACCGGGATGACATATGGGGAATACGGGCAGGGGAAGAGAAAGTACAAAATAAAAGACAGCAGAGAGGGTAGAGGTGGAAAGTGGGAAAGAGATTAGGGTGGTTGGTCGGTAGATGAAATGAAAGAAATGAAAAATGATGAAGTTAAAGGAACGGGTAGATGGAGGAGAAGGTGCAAGAAGACGGACGAGAAGAACAGAGGCAGCATGAAATGAAACAAGGACGCACAGAGAATAAAAACGCCTCGCCGCTGTCTGTTATTCCGTGCATCTCCCTAACCCAGCAGTCTGGCTCTTCTTCTCTTTCCTGTAAGAGGGCTGTGACACACTCCAGTGCTCTGCATCCACTTGCCACAGAGGGGAGATAGATCAGATTCTAATGTGCTCCTGGCTCAGCCCAGGCTGACAGGGGGAACAGAGAGCCACACTGGGGACGTCTGATTACTGTCAGCCTCCATATGTCAGCACATCACTACACATACAGCGGCAGCACAGACACAGAGGCACACTGTATATGGTTGTGCACATTTACGCAAACCAAGTGTTGATGCTGAGCTGTCACACTGCACAGATCCTATTCCCTTCGCAGTCTGACCTTATTCAGAAAGAACGTTACACAGGGGAGACTGTCTGCTGAGGATACAAGGAGGTGGAGGATTGGTTCTTGTAGCCAATTAGGGTTATCAATTAGCAAGATGAGGTACGCTGAGATGAATGAGTGTTGGCAAGAAGAGCGGTTTTTTTTTTCTTTTTTTTTGGGGCAAGCTGGTGACGCGCATGAACAAGGGGGGAGAGAAGGAGAGAAGAAAGGGTTGGAAGAAGGAGGGAAAAGCGCTGAGAGGGAAGCAGTTATTGAAGCGATCCAACACTGGTGAGGGCGACACTTTGACAAGCTGCATGCGTTGCCATGGTTACCAGTCGCCTGTGTGTCATCCCTTTCTTGCATTTCCCCCCCCCCCCCCCCCAACATATTGGTGTTCGAAAAGGCAAAGGAAAGGCACAAAAGGGGGGGGGGGATTTTAGGAGGGAAGGGTGCAGAGTTGAAGGAAAAACAGAATAAAGATGGATAGAAAGAGAGCGATGAGGCAAGAATGAGGTGGTAATAAGACGAAGGAAGGGTTCAGATGCAAAGGGAGGCGGGGCGGGAGATTATGGATGCGAGGTGGAGGAGGTGCTGGCTCAAGAGCAAGTGGGAGGAGATGGACAAGACTAGGGATGAAAATGTATACACGAGCACGAGGAGGAGGAGGAGGAGGAGGAGGAGGAGGAGGGCAAAGACAAGTGGAATGCTCACTGCAGGGGAATGATCTCGGTGTTAACCCCCGAGACCTCTATTACCTCCACCGCAGCAACACTCCAACTGACCCCAGCCCGAGACTGACTTATCAGTCTGTTCCACAGGGGCACAGATAGAAAATCAAAAAGGGAAAACAGAAACGAGACAGCCATGGTTACAGGTGTCCACTATCAAAGAAGGGCGTATACATATCCAGCTTCTTAAAATCCTTTTACCAATTAGGCATTTTTCACTGTGTCAGAAATGATCAATTTCTTCCATTTAGCGTTCACATTTTCTCAAAATGAGTGTAATTTATGGCATTCACCCCAAAGAATTGTGTGTGTGGTTTGCCTCTCTACTCCTACGTATCCACCAACACGGTTGTTTTGAACCAGAATGTTTTGTCTTATTTTAGGTGTGAGTTCTTCTTGCTTCTCTGGTAAAGGTAATTAATCTGAACAAATATAGCTCAGTGAAAAAAACCCCAATGCAGACTGAGAAGGTGTAAGCTGAGCACCAACTTAGCACACCTACCCTTTTTATAATACATTATCCGATGTCTAAGGAGCTTGAAAGGTTGATTCTAGTTGTTAAATCTTGGCTACTCTTTGGAAGATGGCGATTACAGCCTCCACAAGGCGGGAATGCAGCACCAGCACTGGTATGGTTCCCACTGACTAACCCTGTGGCACCGAGCCAATACTACAGACTACTTTGGTCTCTGAACAAGACTGTCAAGCTCGAACAGGGCTGTGTATCTGCGGAGGGCAGTGGCATTTACAGGGCAGAGCATATTTGCATGACATCAGATAAAACCCTTTTGATTTGTCTCTGCTGCCCTCAGGACTCACTGGTGTTCACCAACAACTGGGCCACTGACTCTGTAATTATCACAATGCCCATTCTGCCCTGCTGTTGCCATCATTATGCTCAAATTTTACCACTGTGGCACTGAAATGTGACGGCCGTAAAGATCTGAACCACTTTCTCCTCAAGTGGAGACTACTGTAGAGATTTTTCTTGATGCAAACAATCATCTAACTACATTTCCTGGCGTTTAAACACAGTGCAAACAGCCACAGGCATTCTCAAATACAGCTCAATGCAAATTAGCATCAAAGACTGATGAAAGGGGACAGTGTATAAGAGTCTTATTCTCTCTACTTGACATAAATGTGTCAGAATAGCATTCACAACCCCAAGTCCTTATGGGAGAGATATAAATAAGCCTGATAAGAACTGAATGACACATGGGGAGATATTCACCATCTAATGATAGCGTGCTTTAGTGGCTGAGTGCTGCCGACCATCAAGTTGCCTTATCAGTGGCACTGCAATAGAGAGACTATCAGAGAAACTGCGTCTGTGTGTGTGTGCATGCTCTGATCATGAGCATATGTGTGAGCCTGCATAGGCCAGAAATAGCCAGAGTCAGCATTGCAACCTCCTGCAGACAAAGACTAATAAAAAACTCACTCATGTTTGCCACTGTTGCTTTCTCCTTCTCTCTCCCTGCAGCATTTTCGTGTGGTTTCTGTGTGACACGGCTGCAATATCCCCTCCTTTTAAAACCTGCAGTGCTCATGAAAACTAAGCATGCCCAGTTTTCTTTTGAGGCGACACATCCTGATGTAGGAATTCTCCAGGAAACCCCCAATAGCATTGAAGTTTAGCGCCTTAAGCATCTGATGTGTGTTTAACATCTAGACACTGCAAAACTAAGCAGAGACAGGCAGATTAATCCTTTCTCTTTACAAATGGCTACACCAAAGATGCCCTGAAGCAAAGCACTTGACCTCCAGGTGCTCTTGTGGATTTGCTTAGAGGCTTGCGGGACACTTTGGTCGTTGTGGGGAGCCTCCAGTGACTGTGACTATTTCAATCTGGATGCCAGAGCTGCGAAAAAATGAGGCATTTTCCTGGATAAAGATGAGCAAAAAGTGCCCAATATTTAGACAGGCAGCAGGCTCTGTTAAAAACAAGCTCGCCTGTTCAGAGTCCAAAAGCTGTTGGCAGATTTCACTTCATTCTAGTTTAATTAGAGAGACCTTTTCCAAATCAAAGGCCGCTGCATGGAGTCCCAAAGGTGGAAAAACCCTGTCGTCAGCCAGTGTGAGTGATTTGGTCTAGACTTGAGCTTAATAGGACCGCAGTCTGCTCTGTGGCCTTGCAAACTGTCTATATGATCACACTGGCGCAAGCAGAGTAAACCTCACAATCAATACGACAGCCAGCCATTTACAGTGTGGGAGCGCTGGCTTCATCTCCAGCCCAAGGACCTGCTACATCGAAAAATGGATATTGACACAGATGAGTCAGCCTCTTTGATACCGCATTAAAATGTGTCTATGAAGGAATATGTGTTGTTGAGGTATTACTAAGTAGTTGTTATCACTGAAGTGCTTATACAGTACGTGACTCACCAGTGTGGCCACAGAGCATCTTCTCACTCAACCCACACGGGCTTCCTCAACTTGTTATAAAAACACACACACACATTCATAAAAATGCAGCCGTGCACAATATCATAGACACACACAGACTTCTCCCCAAGGCTCCTAAGCGTGCTGATCAATGTGTTGCTGATGGGCCACTTGCGACCCCTAAACCCTGCAGCAGATAATTGATTCCTCCCTCTTGGATGGAATGATTGCCCAATCTGTCTGTCAATCAGCCAAAACCCTGGTTCATCATCAAGAACACGAGACACGTTATACAGCTTAGACATGCAAAACATAAACTAAAGCCGGAGATACCCACACACACACAATCACATATGTCCTTAGGAAGCACTAGCCAAATATAGACATTGCTTTCTGCCTTCGAATCCATATTGGCTTGTTAATTCTGGAGATGGTAGACCACACCAACTCAAACATGAATCTGGTTGGACAGAAAAACAGCAGTTTGGGTAGAGGATTCCAGGAAACCAGATGTCAAGAGAAACATTTTTCACTGGCCTAAATATGGCAACTGACACTGTGCTTTTAACAGCAGGGATAAAAAAGAAGAAAGAAAAGTTTAAAGCCAAATAACAGCTTCCATTCTGGAAGAAAACCCTGACCTGGACTTCACAGGAGCTGCCTCCTTGCTCGACCCTTGGAAATGATAATGCTGAATAATCTTACAATCTTATGTTCTTGTGACCCTGAGATGGTAAGATTGGGGATGTGGTAAACACAGAAAAAAGAAAAAGGATGAGCACAAGGAAAAGCATGCACAGGTACAGACACACAGATCCATGCACATGCAGCATGATTGCTGCAAACGCTAATGCAGCATCTGTAATCGACCATTATCTTGTGATTTTTGCGTCATTCCTCATGTGCAGAATGCTCCAATTAATCCATCTATACATCCATTCATACAGCATATCCATCCCTCTATTTGCACACACACACCCCTTCCTCCCTCCCTCCTTCCCATAAACCATGACATGATGCCTCCATCCCCCCCCCCCACCCCCCCCTGCTGTGGCTCATGATCTGACCTCACATTCTCTGGGCCCACATGGCTCCATGATGCTTGCGTCCGTCGTGTTGTCTCACGCTCTCATTTTGCCTGTGCAAACAGCCCCTGCTATCAATCCTAACATCAGCTCTCACCCCCAGCCTCCACGTCTCAATCCCTGGATAGACGGCGAGGTGGCCAGGAGCCCGTAACCATAGAAACCTCTGCCGCTGCCTGCTCACTCGCTTACCTGCTCTTGTATGAGCTGAAACAGGGAGCTTCTATCCATATACTGGCCAGGGAGGTGAGAGGAGCCGCCGAGGACAAGGGCATAGGGAGGAGCAAGAGAGGAGTGGTGGTGGTGGTGTTGGTAAGGATGGGATAAGGTGGAGGGGGATTTGGTTGAGGTAGCAGCTGGTGCCTAAATTGTAGCGTCAGGCCCCTTTCGTTGCTGCTGCGCCCCCCCCTTGATGATGGAGAAAGCCCGGTGAGCTCTGTCCCTGGTTGTCTTTGCTGGTGGAGTGAGGACCGGTGCTGTGTGGCTCCGTGTTGGTGCTGAGTGTGTGGACGGTGGTGCAAATGGGCCGTGACTCTGCTCTGTGCCAGTGCAGCGTGGCGTGGCGGTAAACCCAGCTTCAGCAGACGACAGGCAGGCAGGCACGCAGGCAAGGCAGATCCAGCAGCTCTCATTCACTCTCTCCTCCTCCTCCTCCTCGCTCTCCTCTATCCCATTGCACTGACTGCTACCTCTCTCTCTCCCCTCTCCTCATACACACACTGCGCCGCCTGCATACCAATGAGGCAGGGGAGGGAGGTGGCCTCTCTCTTCCAATTGGAGATGGGGAAGGAGTGGCCATGGGATGCGGCTCCTCTCCTCACTACAAGTAAGGTGTCTCAGGGAGGGAGCAGGGGATGGGCTCCACTGCGGCTTTGCGCTTACTACTGGCACAGACACCCCCCACACACATGTCTGGTCTGTTACTGACAGGCATACACACACAAACCCACACACTGTAAACAAGCTACTAATACACGGGCATATGGTGAAATCCAAACCATGTGATGATTGTGTTCATTTTAGGGCTACAGAAGACAAAGATGAAGAATGGCATTGGATACAATATGAAACTACTCACAGTATCAAAATGCACTGATAGCCCCCAGAGAAAACTGTAGACTGCTCTGCAACCCTTTACATCTCTGTGCTAATTATAAGCACTGTCACATTAGCACATTGTATGCACTGCTGCACAATCAAGCAAACTCCCACCCCCAACACACATGCACTAACACAAAATTGAATTAGACTGTTTGGATGGCTCACTGATCCTCCAATGAGCTCAAATGAACACCACGACGGCAATAACACAAGACCACAATGCTCAATACAATACTTCATTATAAGTAATTCCGGAACAAAGGCTCTTTTTATGTTAATCTGATGCATAATACAGAGACCGGCATGCAGGGAGCAGAGCAATAAGGTCAGAACATACATAATGATGAAAAGGAACTTGTTACTGCTCATGTGGGCGGCCAGCAGTGGCTGTGCTTGATTTTATTGAAATCCCCTCCAAAAGATGTTTTCTTTCTGCACAGAACCGCAGTGACCCCTCCTCCTCAGGACAAAGGCGATGAGGGGGAGGAAGCGGCGAGGGGGACGTAAATCTTAACTCATAAAAAATGTGAAAGGGCCTTAAATGCACCAGAGCTGTTTGTAGCTGGAGAAGTCATCCGGGTTGTGACCTGATGGCGACTTCAGCTTACATTGTGGTTGAAGCAGAGGGTGTTTCTCGTCCTCTGCACTGTGAGATTTACCGCCAACAATGTAACTCAGCCTCTGGCTTGGTGACAAACAGTGCCTCTGTCTGTTTAAGTACCACGATTGCACCAGATGTTTGAACGTTCATTTTCTTACAGGCAGAAAGGCTTATAAATCCTTCTTAATGTGAGAAACATTTTTAAAATATCTGGACCTACTCATTACAGCAATGTGTCTTGTGCTTTATTGGCTCAGACCGAAGCTGCTGACTATATGAAGCCACGAGTAACTGCTGTATTTGTCCTAATGGATTGTGCCAAGGCCACACTGAACATGGCAGAGCTCCCAGACTTTCCCTTTGTCACCTTCCACTATGTCCATCTGACACGCTTTTGTTTAAACAAAACCTTAACAATGAGCGTCCAAGTCTATAGCAACGTCAGGATTCCCTTCTCTGCGCGAAAGCACTATAGTCACTCCACAGGGTTCTTTGTTCAACTACTAATCAACGTTCGGAATTAATTTGTCTCCAATACTCTGTAGTTGTGAGCATGAATAAGACAAATCTAATTATAAGGTCACTGCTGGAGGATTTACAAACTGCCATAAGTGAGACAGATTGAAAGAGCAGCCAAAATGAAACTGGATTCAACTGTTGCCTTGGTAACCTCAAAGTACTCCCATCAAACAATGATAGACAAGTACCATGAACTAAAAAAAAAAATCAGTGCAGTAAGAAAATAAAGCAGAAAATCCTCTCAAAGGAATACTTCATCCACAAAATAACCCCTGTGTTACCTTGAATTCATCAAGAAAACTTTTCTCATATGTCTTCACAGGGTACAAAGAACTGAACATTTTTTGATGAATTGAAGTGAAAGGGGGCTGCGTTTAACAACTGCAAAACTATATCAAAGCATCTCTTTACAAACTCTCAGATTACTCATGCACAAACACAAGCATTTTCACCAAAACCTTGCTATTCAAATCATCCGCCCGTAGTGCGCATGGGCAAATGTATGCGTTTGAACTCACAGCAAATTTACGTGCATTCTCATTACTTCCCAGACACATGCATTTGGTAAAAATCTATATGTTTGGGAAGTGCTGAGCATATGTAAATGAGACTTGAGCACTTTTTACACAGAGACCCTGCGACTGGGCCTCTTCATTTTGCTGGCTTTTCTTTTTTAAACAACCAAACAATGGCGGCATAATGCCACCCCAGGGTGTAATTTCACATAGCATGCCAGCTACCGGAAGCCCGACAGGCATGACAGGCGTGACATGTAACACAACAGCGTCAGCCTCTAGTGTGACCTATAACATATGCATCGGGCAGCGGTTTCGAAACAATAACCATGACATAACATGCCAAAAGAAATCTTTAACTGTCCCTATTATATGGCGGTTAACCCTGTCCTCTGCTCAAAGGGTAAAGAGCTCCTGGACCTCATTGTCTTCTCAATATGCAGGCATATTTGGTTGCTGTTCTTCTTCTTTTCCTTAGCTGCTAACTGCTGCTAGTGGCCTTTTGAATCTCCCAGTGATGGGTCGCACACATAACACGTCGTCAAAACACCTTGTAGTTACTACCTTCGCTGCCATCTTAAAAGCCAGACACCTCTGTCGCACTCATTCTGCAACTGTACCCTTTATACAGAACAGTGAGGCAGAATAATGGTGTGACCTTCCTGCCTTGAACAGGCAGCATAAAAGGGGCTGTGTGGATTATGCTGCATGAGTTGTGTGAGAGTTTGCAAGTTTGTAAAACGCAGCCCCATTTACTCCAGTTCTTTAATAATTTTCTCAGTTTTTGGATTCTTTGTTCACTGTGAATGCTTGTGAGAAAAACTCTTTATGATCTAATGTAACATGGGGTGAGTAATTGATATAAAAATGATCATTTTGTGGGTGAGGTATTCCTTTTAAGAAGAAACACCCAGGCTCTACCATATGTTAGAAAACTGAGGGTAAATTTATTATGACAGCATATGCGCTGCATGAGTAACATCAGCACAACACAGCCTTGGCTCCATTATAAAGAAAGCCAATATACATGCAGCACTATTCAATCACACACCAGCAAAAGAAAATGGGTGTCAATGGAGCAAAAATGGCACTACAGACCCAGGTACACAACATTCCCAAATATATGAACAAGATGCCAACTGGGCTCACAGCCCCACCACGGGTCATGCCAGTATCCAGTATCATTGTTTCCATTAAACTGCCACCAAGTGACATTATCCAGATGACTGACAGAGCGAGATAAGCCTCCAGTGAAATACGGTCTCTGCTGCCCGAAGCATCCCCAACTGAATAGTCTCCCTTGAGCCTGACTAAACCCTTCATGTTCTATTCACCCCTGGTGGATGGATGCAGACGGCAGGACGAACCCAGGCAGCCTGCTCCTCTTTAACAAGGCCTGAGAGCAGCAGACAAAACACTCTGGTCTAGCCTCTGTGCGAGAGCGGGGAGAGAATAACAAGGTCTTTCAGGGAGGCAGAAAGGCGCATTAATTAGACCGCCAGTCTGCGCTCTTCCTCACCAGCTTAATGACCTCGAGGTCCATAAGGCAGGTGTTTATTTATCGGTGTCTGTGTGTGGATAGTTGTGTTTCTGTCAGCGAAACGGATGGTAAGGAGCTATAAATGCATGCCTTAAAGGTCCAAAATCAGTGTGTCTTCATTATACGTGGGCTTTGCCGGGGTTTTAGCATGAGGGGTGCATGTACCCTCATTTATACAGCAGTCGCCTTATGTCTACCACATACTTGTGTGTGTATGCAGACTGTAGGGATTTGTCTATGCGCACAATAAGCTCCTCCAACTTGGAGAATGTGTTGCAAACTTAATTTTACACCAGGATCAAATCACTGTTCATCATACAATTTTGTTGCACCAAAACTTTCTTTATAAGATCTGGGAGCTACATGGCTAGCTGTCAAATGTTTGTTTCACAGTAGTTCTTTAAATATACAGTATGGCAACCAGGACTTTTACATACAAATGATTGCCTGCCCTGTTACATTCAATCCTTCCCAAGAGGTTCATAGTCACAAAATGCTTAAACCTATTGCCGCCAGGGAAAGCTCTCTCTATTTTGTGTCTGTGACAACTTCTCCCATGCTGATGCACCAAAGTGATGCATTTTACAACATCCAGCCAGAGCTAAACAGGACAGGAAGGGGGAGAGACCATAGCAAAAGAGCAGCAGCTAGGAGTATGGTGGAAGCAAAAATCCTACATAAAACCCAAGAAAAGTTTCTAGAGTGGATGCTGCAGATGAAAAAAGAAACTTTCTTTCCTCTTCCTTCTTTCTTTCCTCTGTTCAGAGGAAGGATAAAGGTCAAAATATTTGCATGGAAGACTTGAAGAAAGTGCTCCTGGGGGTGGGGGAGACACGTTACGCTCACCTGCAAGCATACCTAATAAGCATGCGTCAACAGTGTTTGTGCAATTACTCTCACTGCCAGATGGGGAAGACAAAAGTCCTGCATTCCAGCCTTAAAATCAACATGGATTAAGTCTGGATTTATACACTCTCTAGCATTTAATCTGAATTCACACAGATTCTTTTTAGATGCAGATACTGTGCTATTAAATGTACGCATGCCTTGGACAACAACTGAACTAATTTTAAAGCAACAAACGTACTTTACATATTATACAGAAGGCAAAGGTCTGTGTGCGTTGAATTAAAACGAGCTGAGACCATACCACTGAGAGTTGAGGAGGGCAGACGTAAAGGCATTTCTGAAGAGCAGCGTTTAGGTGTTTTTTTACAATCTTGATGTTGACACTTTAGTGTTTTTTTGGCCCTTGTATAACTATGTAAAGAGTCTGTTTGATTTAAAAGCATAAATAATCTTGTGAGCCCATATACTGCTGCAAGAAAATATGCTTTGCTTTTATGTACCTTGCCGAAGCTTATATTCAACAAACAACTCACTGCCTGACTAAGTGAATTCTCTCTGCTAGGGCC